CCCCCTGGTGATCAGCGCCGCGGGCATCCTGACCTGCGTCCTCGTCACCCTCATCGCCACCGACCTCAAGCCCGCCACCAAGGTGTCGGAGATCGAGTCGACCCTCAAGCTGCAGCTGATCATCTCCACGATCGCTATGACTCCGGTGAGTCATGATGACGTCATGATGACGTCGACGACGAGATCATTGACGATGTGCGGCGCCTACGGCGGCCGTGACGACCGCGAGGGTGTCTCTCCTGGCGCTCCGACGGCAGCAAAGACACGGGCTCACTGTCCTTGCCAGGCCTGGAATCCTTCAGCTGCTGCACAAGCATGAGTCATTGTGAAATTGCACCGCCCTCTGCCAACACCGCAAGCCCCCGGCGCGCGTTCCCCTCGCGCTCTCCAACTGGGCTCCCGTGTTTGTCGCACCCCTTCCGCAGATCTCGTTCGCGGTGGCCTACTACTTCCTGCCCCCTACCTTTGACATCGCCGTGCCCAGCCACGACCCCACCAAGGATTTCGACACCAAGGTGTGGCCCCGCCTCCAGCATCATCAACTCCGCACCCCTGCCCGCCCATGGAACGCACAGGACACCACTGTGTGGACAGCATCCTCCAGGGCTGCCCACACACACATGTCACGTCCTTCACATCCAAGTGGATCTTTGTGCTCTCCCCGGCCTTCTCACGCACGAATAGTAGTTTCTGCTGCAGCAGCAGTGTGCTGGCAGTGGGGTCAGGCTCAAGGGCCCCATGCATACTCCACAAACGCAACGTACCAACCCCACCACCCCGCACCCCCGGAGGCTCTCTCTCCCCCCCCCCCAAAAGCATCCCCTGACCCTCACAACCCTGAACCCTGATCTTGACGCCCAGATCGTCAAGAACTGGTACCTGTTTGTGTGCGTGGCCGCCGGCCTGTGGGGCGGCCTGGCCATTGGCCTGCAGACCGAGTTCTTCACCTCCAACCGCTACAAGCCCGTGCAGGCGCGCCATCGCCGGCGCGCGCGCGTGTGTGTGTGTGTGTGCTGCAGACTGAGTTCTGCACCTCCAACTGCTACAAGCCCGTGCAGTTGGGGCCGTGCGCACGAGTGCAGATGTGTGCGTGTGTGTGTGTGTGTGTATGAGACACTAATTGTGTGTGTGCACGCATGTGTGTATGAGTGTGCAAGTGAATGTTTGCGTATGTGCGCGCACTGAAGTGCCCGCTGTGCGCCATCTCTCGTGCAAGGAAGCAGCACGCATGTGCAGGTGTGCGAGCCCTTACCATGACCTGCCTGCCATTGTCATCGGGAAGCTTCCCGGCACCACCACCTCCATTTCCTTTCATTCTGCCACCAGGACGTGGCCGACGCGTGCCGCACCGGCCCCGCCACCGACATCATCTTCGGCCTGGCCCTGGGCTACAAGTCCACCATCATCCCCTGCTTCGTCATCGCAATCTGCATCTACGTCGGCAACACGTGAGTGTCACGTTCATCGACGGGGGGGTGTAGGCGTGGGGGTGGGTGCATGGCGACAGGGGTCAGAGGGTGTGTTCAAGTGCGGCCGCTCCTGTTGGTTCTCCCTGGGTTTCGCGCGCAGGCGTGGCGCCTGAGTTTGGCTGCCTAGGCCCTGGGGCGGCTTCCGGCGGTCCCGCGCGGCCTGACCCCAGGCCCCGCCCGCCTGTGGAATGCGGCCTGCGGGCCACCATCCCCCGCAGCTCTTCCTCCAGCCCTCCCGGCCTGCCCGCCACCCCCATCGCCCAACCTTCCAACAAACCACCCGGCCCGCCACCCAACCTGAACCCCCCCAGCCTGGGCGGCATGCTTGGCATCGCCTGCGCCGCGCTGGGCATGCTGTCCACCCTCTCCACCGGCCTCGCCATCGATGCGTGAGTCGCCGACCACCGCTCGTGTGCATGCACCAGGTTTTGCTGCCCCTTGTGATGACCTGCTTTGATGAGTGTGCAGCCACTCCGCGGCGATGCCCATGGGGCAGCGGCTGTGCTGTATGTGATGGCCCCCGCATGCGCTTGTCACTGCGCAGCTGCCCTGTTCTCGAGTCTCAAGCCGCTGCCATCGCTTTCTGCGCCGGCACATGCGTACACACGCACGCACACACACACACACACACAGTCACATGCAACATCTCTTCCCGTGCTTTTGCATTGCGTCTCTGCAGCTACGGCCCCATCTCTGACAACGCCGGTGGTATTGCTGAGATGGCTGGCATGGGCGAGGACATCCGCGAGCGCACCGGTGCGTGCGTTTGTGTGTGTACAGTTGTGGGAGGGTGGGTGGGTGTGTGGGACGCGTGTGCAACGCATGCCCATGCAATCTGTCATGGTGTCACATCGGCATGTTCGCATGCGCGTCTGTCAATGTGTGTGACGCATGCCGCATGAAGTTTCAATGTAAGAGCACACTGGTCAAACTGCAGCAGCCCCAAGCATCAACCC